TAATCATTATCTGCCACAAAATTCAGATCCTAACTATTAATACTACATACATTTGAATCAATGGGTTCCAAATAAAAACATTAAGAATTATGAACTCAGTTAGGTATGGTAGACTTTAATCTCAGCACTTGGGAGGCAGAAGTGGATCTTCATGAATTCAAGACCAGCCTAGTCTACAAAATGAGTTCCAGAACAGTCAGGGCTGTTACACAAAGAAACCATATCTTGAAAAACAAAAACAAAAAGCCAAAAATTATGAAAACTCAAGTTCCCTCTTCATCACTCACTTAAAGAATGCTCAAAACATCTCTATTAAAAACACAGTATTGAATCCGGGCGTTGGTGGCGCACGCCTTTAATCCCAGCACTCGGGAGGCAGAGGCAGGCGGATCTCTGTGAGTTCGAGGCCAGCCTGGTCTACAAGAGCTAGTTCCAGGACAGCCTCCAAAGCCACAGAGAAACCCTGTCTCGAAAAACCAAAAAAAAAAAAAAAAAAAAAAAAAACCCACAGTATTGGTCTCTGTGAGTTCAAGGCCTGCCTGATCTATAGAACGAGTTCCAGGACAGCCAAGACTACCCAGAGAAACCTTTGGAGGAGGTAGAGGGGGCATGGGATGGGGACAGGACCAGGGGATAGACAGTTTCTACACTCCAATCTATTCATTTTATTTTATATGTATAAATGCTTTGCCTACATGTATATCTGCATACCACAGTTGGTGGAGGCCAAGTTTCAGATTCCCTGGAAATGGAGTAACTGATGGTTATGAGCTGTCATATTGGTACTGGGAACCAAATCTCAGTTCTTTGCTGCAAGAACAGTAAATGTTCTTAACTAGAGGCATCTCTCTAGCCCCATAGTTCAATTCATCAATGCACATAAATCTGCACTTCTCAGTTTCTTATAAAAACTGTCAAGTCCTATTACATTTTAGTAAAGGTATGTAGATCATTGCACTCAATACTTTGGTTTTTGTTGTTGTTGTTTGGGGGGGGGGGATTGAGATAGGGTTTCTCTGTGGCTTTGGAGGCTGCCCTGAAACTAGCTCTTGTAGACCAAGCTGGTCTCAAACTCACAGAGATCCGCTTGCCTCTGCCTCCCTAGTGTTGGGATTAAAGGCGTGCGCCGCCACCACCAAGCTGCACTCAATACTTTATCTAGCTCTTCCTACCTGGTTTGGGGGAAAAGCCCAGAGTGTAGGCAGTATATAGACAGGTAATATAAACGTTATAGTCATTAAAATGTATATATTCTACAAACTCATAACTTGTTATGTTACTTGTAGGACTGGAGAGATGGCTCGGTGGTTAAGAGTACTGGCTGCTCTTCCAGAGGACCCCTGATCAATTCCCAGCACCCACATGAAGGCTCACACCTGTCTGAAACTCAGTTCCAGGCAATCTGACACTATGACACCAATGCACATAAAATAAAAATTATTAAAAAATATATATTGTTCAGGTGGTGGTGGTGTACACCTTTAATCCCAGCACTCAGGAGGCAGAGGCAGGCGGATCTCTGTGAGTTCAAGACTAGCCTTGTCTACAAGTGCTAGTTCAAGGACAGGCTCCAAAGCCACAGAGGAACTCTGTCTCGAAAAAGTAAAAAAACAATATATAGTTACTTGTAGCCAGGTATGGTGTCACATGCCTTTATTCCCAGCACTGGGAAGATGGAGCCACGCCTGGGCAGACCAAACTGGTCTACATAGTGAGTTCCAGGCCAGCCAACGCTATGAAGTAAGACCTCCATCTCAAAAAAAAAAAAATACATTTTTTAAAAATGTACCTTATATAATATGGAGTACATTAAACATGAGGAAACTTGAAGGAAGACTACAATCACCTTTTCTTTTGCTATACATTAATTCAAGCTTCTTATAGCAGAATGGCTAAATAACAGGCCAGAAAATAAATACATTCTGCTAAGAATGGCAACATGATACATGAAGCAACTGAATTTTTAAATAATTTTTGTTCTCTAAACACAGGACAATGTATGACAACACATACAAAGAAATTTTTTCCTAATTATCTCATATTGCCTGTTTCCCCTTTCCCAAAGTCCATCTCTATATGTATGTCACAAGGTCAAGTCTTACTTTATCTTTTTGTGTTAACTCTTAACAAAATTCTGCTTGAACTGACTTTTGTTTAAGATTTCGGATTTGATTAAGGATTTAAAATAGTCAAGGTTATTACTCAAACAGATCATTTAAAAGGAGTATCAAATATAATATCAGGCCGGGCGTTGGTGGCGCACGCCTTTAATCCCAGCACTCGGGAGGCAGAGGCAGGTGGATCTCTGTGAGTTCGAGGCCAGCCTGGTCTACAAGAGCTAGATCCAGGACAGCCTCCAAAGCCACAGAGAAACCCTGTCTCGAAAAACCAAAAAAAAAAAAAATATATATATATATATATGTATATATATAATATCAGAATTGTTTTTGTATCAGTATAGACTAAGTTTAGGACAATTCAGTCTTTAGTTTAAAATTGTATATAAAGTAAATAAGTAACTTTGGTTAACCCACAATCAACAATACATTCTACTGGTGACACAGTAAACAGTTAAGGTGTGGTCTGAAAAAATTAAAAAGATGCAGGCATTTAGTAACCACTTAGCAATATTTACCAGTTGACAAACAAGATTGCTATACGTGTTTGTGTGTGTGTGTGTGTGTGTGTGTGTGTGTGTGTGTGTGTGTGTGTGTGGTGGGTTGGTATCAGGTAAATTTCCAAACAAAAATTTAACAAGGCAAAAATCAACAACACTCAGCTTTAACCAACCCCTCCAAATACACACATATATAATATATCCTTATAAACCCCATCATATCTAGCTACTGAGGGTCCCAGCTTCTTCAAACATGCTGTCTCCATAGGACAAAGGATGTCCATCCTCCTAGCTCTCCTAGGAGTTAGTTCTTCCAGGCTTCCCAATGGAGAGACAAAGACCAGTGAGGGTCACCACAGGAAGCTTCCCGAAAGCACAAACTGCAAACTTCATGTTCTGTTTAGTAGAACAGAGTCCAGAAAGAAAAATAAACTTCAGAATGCTGAAATATCTAAGTGGCTGGCACACATCAGGCATGTATTTATTAAATGTATGTGTAACAGATACAGAATGTCAAGAAAAAATTCAATAAATGGACATGTGATGATATAATTTACCCCCTTAGCTTCATTGATTCAGAGCCTGAGACTCCAAAGGTTAGAGGACCTGTCCATGGACACAGATACTTTGGAGCACAGCCATTCCTACATGATTCTGGCAGGGCAGCGTTCCTTTCAACAGGTTATGCTATAATTATGGTTCATCACTTCAGTCCTTCGTACTGAAATACAGTTATCCAATCCATGTGAAAATATAGAGCTACAAGCCCTTCAAGAAGCAACTTGATGCTTCCAGTAGCCAATTATACTATTTCTCAAACATATTCTAAGGTAACTAATGTGGAACGTTACCCATATTAATATTTTATACTACCATCATAATTATTTCCCAGATGTGTTTAGTATTAAATAAAAATGTGTGAAGCAACTTGAACATGTAGTTTGTTATAATTGCAATGCATTCCTGCTGTAAGTTTCCGGGTCAAAGGCAGTCATCCCAACACAGTTGAAGGTTAATGAGATATATATATATACAAGGTGGACAAATGAGAAGGGTGTAACTCTTGCACCATTTGAGAGGCCTTGGGCTAGATCTATGCCCAACAATGCAAAACAAAACAAGCAGAAAACCCCAGAAAAGAACTGTAACACGGGAAAATGATGTGATTTTTGTGCTTCAAACTATTAAATGGTAAAGCAGACATTAAACCAATAAGGCAGCATCTAAGATTTAAAAATAGGTGGTGAACCTGCTCACCATCTCGTTCTCAAGTTTCTTCATTATCTCTTAACTACAGAGATAATCTTTGGAAAAGGCCCAGAATATAGAAAAGAAAAAAGTGTGAGAATGAAGTATTCTGTCTGGTTAAAGGGAAGTGGGGACCAAGCACTACTTGACTATTGACGACTGCTCAGGAACCCTAAGGCCCAGAAGAGAACCGTTTAAAGTCTATGACTCTTCAGAGGGCTTCTTCTCCACCGAGAAAGTGGTCGTGTTTGAAATCTGAAAGCCCGTGTCTGAAAATATTGTTTCTCTTCTCATAAATGTTGAAAGTTACTAATTTCCATAACGTCAAAATCATGTATTCTTCTCAAACAATGCCATTCTCCTATACTCTAACCACGTTTAAAAATACGTCAGGCGCATTATTCCAACTATCAGGAAACTTGGGGTGGGGGTGGCACTGTAGGTTACTTAGACTCTGACCTTTGTGGATTTCTAAGTACCATGTGGAGCTTGAGAAAAGAGAAAAATAACTTCGGATGGTGAAATTTGCAAAACATCTAAAACTCCAGTTGGCAGAAGGCTCTCCACAGTCAGTTGTCTTTCAAGAAAAGGATCCCGAGTGTATTTACAACCTACAAGCAGAAGGGAGCCGCGCCTCAACTAAACTCTAACATAAAGAACTTTACTCCAGTATACACAGCCAAAATGATGCAAAACCTGTAGTTGTCTTCAATGGGTTTGCTCGAAGCCGGAATAATGAATGAACTGGAGCCATCACGACCGAGTTAGGGGCCTCACTTTCGGCCCAGCGGCAGAGTCTCCAAATCGTGGGGACTCGCGGACTGGTCTGCTCCAAGGGGCGGCCCCGCTTCGGGCTCCCCGAAAGTTCTGGGGCCCCAGGGGGCCGCCCCGCCCGGCCGAGGGTCGCGCCCCCTCCCCGCCGCCGCGCACAGCCCGCCCCCCCGCCCCCGCCGCGCGTTAACCCCTCGCCGCCCGCCGCGGGCTCCGGGAGGAGGCCGCCCAGGGGGTGGAGTTGTCGCGTCTCCTCCCGGGAGCGCCCGGGCAAACGCCCGGCTTGTTTACAGGCCCCAGGCCTGGCCGCCGCCGCCGCGCAGGCCCGCCCGCCCGCCCGCCCTCGCCCGAGCGACGCGCTTACCCGGAGCAGCCGCGGGCGGGCGGGTCCCTTGGTCGGCCGGGGAGGCGGCGGCGACGGCGGCCGGGCACGGGGTCCCACAGCGGCGGCCGGGCCCGGGCGAAGGAGGGGGGAGGAGCCGGGCTGGGTCCGGGCCCCCGGCTCTCGGAGCCCTCGCGGCTCAGATCATCCGGGCGTTGGAGCGGGAGGCAGAGAGCGGGGCCCGCGGGAGGCGGAGGAGGCGCCGAGGACTCATCGCTTGCCGCCCCACCTGCCTGGGCCCCCCTCCCCCCGCCCCAGCCACCCGATCCCGAGCTGCGGACCCGGCCGGCGCGGAGACCACGGCGTTCTGGCTCCTGCGCGCGCTCCCGCCCCTCGCGCCACCGCCGCCTCTAGCGCGGCCCCGCGCACGCGCGCTCTCGACGGCGCCACCCCTCCCCCGGCCCGGCCCCGCCCCGCGCCGCCCGCTCCCCCCGCCCTGCAGCTGCGGCGCGGCCCAGCGCAGGCAAAGACCCGGATGTGGGAGGGCCGGAACTGCGGCGAGGGCGGGGGGAGGGGCCGTGGTGACATCACTGCCCCGCGCTGCTGCTCAGCGGGCTGCTGTAGGGCGGCCGGCGCCTGAGGCTGATGTCTAGGGAGCCTTGGAGTCTTGGGTGGGAGCCAGGCGCCCGGCCTTCGCGTTAGGGCGCTGAGGCCCCCTCTAAACCCGACCGTCGTCGTCCACGCCGCCTCTTACACCTGCCTGCAGATGCATATGTCCTGGGCAGTCGTGGTTAGGGCCGGGCGTGGGCGAGTCAGCCTTCCCCTGCCACCCCAGGAGCCCCACACGGGTGCCACGGTCATACTACATACGTGTGTGTGTGTGTGTGTGTGTGTGTGTAACCAGTTCACGCCTTGGGACACGTGCCTAGAGCTTCTGGCAGGCTGTCCCTGGGTCGCTGCAGGCATTCCGAATTGTATTTATGTGCACGTTCCACGGTCACGTGATTCGGCCTCAACGGGCACTTCCAAAGACCTCCAATGAGGTTAATGGAACTGAGGGGTTTTTCAAAATCTAGAGGACGATCACAACGTGGCGGCTGCTTCCATGAGGAGCTAGAGATGAGCTAAAGGTAGTTGAAACTGCACGTGCAGACGGCCAAAATCCAGTTTGGCTAGCTAGACCACAGAAAACCCTACCCACGCTGCTTACAGACGCCGGGGGATAGAATGACAAACCCCGGGCAGCCAATGAATCAGAGCTGGGAAGCAGTACATCACCAGTATGAGTTCCCATTGGCTGGGATGCCTTCCCAGCTTCTCAGTCACTGGTTTAACCCTTACACACCAAATTCACAGGAACACAACTTGAAGAGCGATTCTGGTATAATACAAAGAAAAACCAAATATTTCGCTGAAATAAACTAGTACTTTAAAAAGAATACTGAAACTATTAGCCAGATTGAGTTCTGGCCAGTAGGAAGATGAATTGTGTTAAGTAAGGCCTGCCCTTTTTCTCCCGGGTGCTTACTGCAGCAATTTGAACCTTGTTACTTTGTGTCTCCTGAAATTACTCCATTGTCTCAACTGTTACATCGAATATAAACTGCTTTTTGCTGTCATTCAGCAAACTATTTCTCTACTTTGGAAGTTGTGAACAACCATTTCCGATATTTTCAGCATGACTTTTGGGAGAAGATTCTGTTTCCTTCACTTTTGCACCTGACCCCTAACAGCAATGACTGCCAGTTGTGGCAGACCACATCTTCACTGAACCTCCAAATCTCAATATCTTAGGAGTAAGATGAAAATGTAACATTTCCAGATACTTAAAGTAAAAATGAAATCTGCTATGCATTTCTGGACTTTCTACGTAAGTGCTGAAAGTAAACGAAATTAGATGAAGAATCTTTTAATGAGATGTTGCCTTGTCGGGTTGATTATATATTGTCATAATACATATTAATCAATGTATTCATTTAGGTTTTCTTGTTAAGTGGTGATGCTGGGGGTTGGAACCAGGGTCCTTTGCTCATTAGTCATGTACTCAACCACTTAACTCTGTCCTCAGCTCTGGTTAGGGCTTTTGGTGGTGGTTGTGTGTGTGTGTGTGTGTGTATGTGTGTGTGTGTGTGTGAGAGAGAGAGAGAGAGAGAGAGAGAGAGAGAGAGAGAGAGAGAGAGAGAGAGAGAATTCTCTATGTAGATAAAGCAAGCCTCTGATTCTTCTGTGGATTGCTGATATTACAAACATGTTCCACCACACCTTGACTAAATTCTTAGTACTTTTAGTACTTCAAGTTACAGCATGGTGAGCATGCTAGCGGATTCCTTAACATTCTGAGACACAAAAGTCATGTGACAGCCACCATTTAATCTGTGTGTGTGTGTGTGTGTGTGTGTGTGTGTGTGTTTCAGGACAGTCTTAGATATCTCAGACTGACCTTGAACTCTATGAAACAGGATGACTTTAAATCCATCCTCCCTACTCGTGGGTGCATCAACCACACCTGTCTAGAGTGCTCTTAAGCAATACATTTTCTTGTTGAAAGAGAAGCTGAGTCATCTGTATGCGCTATAAAGAATGGGGAGGCTTTTGTCAGCCTTATTTTAGGTTCACATTCCTGAAGCCTCTGTGTTCTATCTTTGTATGAAAGCCTGGGTAAGAGAAGAAGTAGAAAAAAAGAAAAATAAAAATCATTAGGAGATTTTTCAGGAGTCTTCCCAGTGTGTCACAGTCAGTCAGCTGTGCCTACCAAGTCTCACTTTCAGACACAGTTTGTAGGGAATTTTCAAATGAATGAGGAACTTGTGGAATATAAAGGTAACATTTAAAAACTTGGAATAAAACATATTAATATTGTTTACATTTCTTTGTTGTTTGAAACAGGGTCTCTCTATATAGCCTTGACTGTCTTGGAACTCACTGGGTCGAAGAGGCTGGCACTAAGTGCTCTTCCCTTTTCCTCTGCAGCCCTAATTGTAAAAGAAAAAGTACAGGGGTGGGGGTGGTTTACATTCCTCATTCCATATCTATTGTGGATGCACCCAGACACTCGGCCCCGAGATGGCCTCACCCGGGCCTCTCAAAGTGCTTCTCAGTGACCCTCCACGGGATGCCTGAGGAGCCCGCTGCCCCAGACAGCCAACAACAAGCAATACCCCTGTGCCAGAGGCCAGCTCTCCCTTCCTCTGCCTGTTTCACTACCTGGTTTGTGCTTTTCTCTCTCCCATAGCCACCTCGCGTGTCCTCTTGTGAGTTCTCTTCTTGTCTCTCTTCTCCCTTTCTTCAGTACTCCTTTTAACTCTTTTTCCTCCCTTGCCCTCATTTCTCTCTCCCTTGATTTGAATAGCTTAATCCAAAAGGTAGTGTCTGTTATCCATTTTCTCCTGAACTTGAACATAGCTAGCCTTAAGTTAATTTCATTCAGGGGTGGGGTACCCCACCCCATCCCCTCCCTCCCTCTCCTCCCTCACCATATCATGTTAATGAAAAACAGCTGTTTACAGGACTGTAAAAGAATGAGAAGGGTTAGAGAATCCTTCCCTGTGTGACATCACCACTGAGGTGGGGCAGGGGGGGCAGGGTAGCAGAAGGAAGGGAGCCAGCATCTTTCGTTGTCTTGGCATCTCCTCCTGGTCCCTGAGAAAAATGTGGACATCTGTAAACTTTATTAGCTAAGTCCTAGCCAGGAGCTTCTTTCCTCAAGCCCCAGCATGCGGCTAGGCCTAACACTGGCTCTTAGCAGATAAGTGCCTCCATTTAACAGATAGTCATTGTGTGCCAGGCACTGGACACCACCCCCACAGAGCTGGCCTTATAAAGAGGGGCGTTCATAGTGAAGTGAATAAGTGAAATTAGGTGCTATGAAGGGGATAAATGGGACAGTGAAGGAGGTGACTTGAATCCAGATGTTTGGACTAAAGTTAGCTCAATAAAGAATGGGGGGGGGACGCTTTTTAGGCAGAAGTAACTTAATGCGTATGGTGTATGTGTATCTACGTTTACGTAGGTGGGCATCCAGTGTCTTCCTCTCTCCACTTTATTTACTTGTTTATTTTGAGACAAGGTCTCTCATGGAAACTGGAGTTTGCCATTTCAGTTAGACTGAATAGCCATCAAGGCTCCTGTCTCCCTCTCTCCTATACTAGGATTATAGATGCACACCACCACACCCTGCCTTTTTGTTGTTTTTGTGTGTGTGTTTGTTTATGTCTTTCAAGATGGGTTTCTCTGTGTTACTACTCTGGCTGTCCACGATGGCCTTCAACTCACAGAGATCTGCCTACCTCTGCCTCCCAAGTTTTGGGATTAAAGGTGTGCGCCACCACCGCCTGGCCACACCTGACTTTTCACTTGCATGTCTGGGATCTGAAATCAGCTCCTCACACTTTTCATAGTAAGCATTTTACAGACCGAGCCATTTCCCCAGCCCCAGGGGAATGATTTTTTTTTAATTAGTAAATACTAGCAAATTTTAAGGGGATGCCTGGAAAGCAGTTCACCTTGGTGTTTCTTATCTATTCCTAGCATTGTAGGAGATCTTGAACTAAACCACATCCTTTAAAGTGGCAACAGTTTTGCAATTTAACAATGCCAGCTTGGCTGGAAACTAATAATGAGATAAATGGCCATCATCAAAAAGCCTTTATCAGTACTATCATAGATACCTGTGACTTAATCCTGCCAACAAGCCCTGTGGGAGGGCAGGCCAAGGACTGTGGGAGACTCCTTTACAGAAGAGAAAACCAGAGAGGCAGCAATTACTCAGGGTCACAGAAAGTGATGGCTGGTACCCTGGACTTTTTCTGGGTACCAGCCATCACTAGCCTTTGTATGACAGTAATACAGGCATCGCAGAGGGAGAATGAGAGCACACTGGTCTTACCATCAGGCTGTGCTGTGTGTGGACAGCTAACCTGGATCCTCAGTTAACTTAGAGAAGTTTTTCGAGCTGTTGCTAAATAGAGCCACTATTAAAAATTAACTAATGCCAGGCACGTTAGCACATGCTTTTTAATCCCAGCAGAGGCAGAGGCAGAGGCAGGTATATCTCTGTGAGTTTGAGGCCAGCCTGGTCTACAAATTGAGTTCCAGGACAGCCAGGACTGTTTCTCAGAAACCCTGTTTTTTTTTTTTTGTTGTTGTTGTTGTTGTTGTTTTGGTTTTTCGAGACAGGGTTTCTCTGTGGCTTTGGAGGCTGTCCTGGAACTCGCTTGGTAGTCCAGGCTGGTCTCGAACTTACAGAGATCCGCCTGCCTCTTCCTCCCGAGTGCTGGGATTAAAGGCGTGCGCCACCAACGCCTGGAGAGAAACCCTGTTTTGAGAAACCTAAATAAATAAATAAATGGGCTGAAGAAATGGTTCAATGATTAAG